TCACTGCTCCCTTCCCCTGCCTCTTCTTCCCCCTTATTTTTATTGTGAATGCCAACTTGAGTTTTTGTGCTTGTATTGAGAAATTGTTTATGTCCCCTGAGTTCTAAGTTTAAAGCAAAGACTATGGAATTCATTGTCATACACATAATTTAATAAATTATACTGAAACGTGTGAGAGTCAGAACTAGAGAGGACTACCTTGTGTTTCTGGTCTGGCCAATTTCTCGTATTTGACAGGATGCAGTCTGACCTTGTCCACTGCTCATCTTAGGGGAAAATATTGGCCATCCTTTCCTGGCAGGTCTCAGCCTTACAGAGGTTCTGGTTTTTGGAGGCTGTACTATATTTTATTGCCCTTGAGAATACACACCATGAATATAACACCAATTGAGCAATTTGTACATATACATTTCAGTGACATTGAATACATTTGAATTGTGCAACCATTTGTACCCTTCTTTTCTGAGTTATTCCTCCCTCATTAACTTACACTCACTGCCTCCTATCTAATCTTTTGGGTTGTAATTTGATCCCCCTATAGATAGATTTTAACAGGGTACAATGCCAAGAAGACATTTTTTTTTTCCAGTTAAGCTCAACTGGGTTGAAGAAGACTTGTGCTAAGTAAGGGATATTCCTGAGTCCTGGCTAAACAAAGTGTGGCTTCCCCGCAGCAGCCCTGACACCATCTGAGAGCTTTTCTGAAACCAATGGAGACACTATAGAGATATAAGCTATCACCCCAACTCATGTGTGTGCGGTCGAGATTGTCGAGAAGCACTGTGGTGGTGTGTTCACAGTGAATCACGTGTCTGAGCTGGACCTGTGCTAGTGCCAACGTCGGCTTCTGTTGCCTTTTACTTCATTGGTGGTTTTACTACAAACAGCCCCTTCTGACCTCAGACATGATCCTGATCCCCTTAACTGTTAGCTACTGAAAATTTGGTCATGGTTGGGATTTTAGAAGCATAGAATCTATGTGGGTAGATGATTCATAGATGATAAATGCCCAGATGGTATTGTGTCCTATAGTAGGGGGCTTTAAAATGTTCATAGAAAAATGGGATTGAAAGATTAGATTTCCCCCCAAACCTTTTCTCTCTCCCCTGTGTGTGTGTGTGTATGTGCGTGTGTGTATAAAACACAAATTCTCTTCTTGGTCGATTCTCTTCTTGGTCTGTTCATTCCACCTTCCTTGCCTATATGCAGACCGACCTTCCTGTGTTGCTGCTGGGAAGGTCATCGGACCTTCGGGCTGGAGAGTTCGTGGTGGCGTTGGGCAGCCCGTTTTCTCTGCAGAACACAGTCACGGCTGGGATTGTGAGCACGACCCAGAGAGGGGGTAAAGAGCTGGGGCTGAAGGATTCAGACATGGATTATATCCAGACGGATGCCATAATCAACGTAAGTCACGGCGGAGAGCCAGCCTCAGCCTGTAAGACACTGGCAGTGCAAGGAGAGGGAAACCTCACCATGGCCTTTTTTTCCCTCTGCCCTTTCAGTTCAGCGTTTCCTAAGGAGAGGGATACTGCCCCCAACCCCCACCCCAGCAGGGGAGTCAAAGGTGGGGAGGAGGGTGGCACCGGAGTGGCTGATGGGGGTGGGTTGCAAAAGAAGATGCCTGAACTTTATCCTGGAATCTGGCCTCCGGTACAAAAGTTTTCATTGCAGGGGGGTGCCAAGTAATCCACGCCCCCCTTTTTCTGGAAAGGAGGTAGTGGGCCAAATAAACTTGTGAACTTTGAGTTAAAATTGTTAAACTATGAAATCCTTCCAGGAGGGGTGGAATGTCTTTGAGAGTGTTCAGCCTCTGTGATGTGATCATTGGGCGGCATTTCAGGGTCTGTTTTGGACCTTCTGCTAGTGTTTTAGATTTACACGGATTCCTGATGGAGGGCCTCAGTTTCCATGCTTTGGAGGTGGGCCTCCCTAGAGAAGGCTGCCTTAGGAACGACGGAGAAATAACAAGGAGAAATGCACTCATGAGCCTGACTAATGCTTTTCATTTTCCTCCGCCAAATCTTCCCCTCTCTCTTTCTTCCCCTGAAATGCTCCTTTCAGCATGGGAATTCCGGAGGACCTCTGGTGAACTTGGTGAGTAGCCACTTTCCTTGTTGTTTATGTCTTTTCCTCACTTTCAAGGACTTTGCAAATTCTGGGATGCAGACATGAGTGTCTGCCACCCTAATGAAGAGATTTGTGGAATGCTGCTTTCCTATTCTTGGATCTTAAATAAATGGTTAGGAAAAAATTCAAGATCTTTGATGGATTAACTCTCTAAGCATGTGATCTCATCCAACGGAGAGCTGCCAGGGCTCTGGCATCCCTCAAAGGCTTTCTCTCCAACATGTTTTCTATTTTCCTTGGCTAGTTACCAAAATCCTGGGCATTAAACCCAGACTTATGACAAACAATCAATTGTGCTGTGTAATATGCATCCTTGAGGACCTCTGTCTGCTCGCTGTGAAGAAATCTTAACCAACAATCCTAATTACATGATATGCCTTATCCAGTTTTCAGTCTTAACCTATTTATGCATGAGGGAAAAAATCCAAAACAAGAATCGCATGCTTCGTCATGTATTTCAAACACCTACTGTATTCACCGTGCCCAGTGGAAATGCCATTGTTTATAGTTGCTCAAAGGCACGTGAAAACACACGAGTGCAGTGATGTTGAATATACAATATCTGATCACGCCGAGTCCCTTTGAACTGATGGCTTTTAGTCCCTCTTTGTCAATTACATTTGCTTTTCCGAGGAGGACTTGTGTGTGAAATGACTGAGCACTTTTACAAACAGTATCCCGTGAACTTTCTTGAACATGCTTTCTCTGTTAGGCAATGCGGGTACTAGAGCAGGGGGAAATGCAGGGTTTCAGGCCACGTCCCAGACCTTCTGAAGTGGAAGCAGGAGTCTCTTTTCTCTCTCTTCCATCCCCTAACAACCAAACCAAATCCACTGTCGTTGAGTTGGTTTTGGCTCCTAATGACTCAGTAGGACAGGGTAGACTGTCTTGGCGGGCTTCTGAGACTGCAACTCTTTACAGGACGAGGAAGCCTTGTCTTTCTCCCTCAGAGCTGGTGGTTTTAAACTGCTGACCTTGCAGTTAGTTGCTTAACTCACTACGCCACCAGGGTTCCTATTACACAACAAAATAATGGCTAAAGGATGCAGAGGTACTGAGAAAAGAAAGTATTTTCTTTCTGTGTAGAACATTCATTTTCTCAAATATCAATTTTCCCCCCCCTGAACAACTACATTACAGAAATCTGACAGCATTTTGCCTTTTCCAGCATGAGTTTTACTTAAGTGATAAAAGGGAGAATAATACAGTTACTGAACTGCATTCGGTCCAAATTCGTGTTCAAGTGCAATTGGAGAAAATGAATGGAGAAAGGATCGCGCTCTCCCATTGTATTCCGACTGTCTGACTGACTTCACACATTCCTTTCTTTGTTCTCATTTTGCAGCAGTTAGTGCCCATGCAGTGTGTTGACTGAGTGCTGTGTCCTCCTCTCTTCCAGGATGGTGATGTGATTGGCATAAATACATTGAAAGTGACGGCAGGAATCTCTTTCGCAATTCCCTCAGATCGAATTCGACAGTTCTTGGCAGATTTCCATGAGCGCCAGTTGAAAGGTGAAAGGAGTTTGGATTAAAAAAAATTTTTTTGACCCTTCTTGTGTTTTCGAAAGGTCCTCACGTGATGCAAGTGCTCGCTAACATTAAGTTTGGCAGTGGGACACCCTCCCACCCACCGGTGTCATGGAAAAAAGACCTGGCAGTTGGCTTTTGTAAAAATTGTTAGTGGCAATCGAGTCCAAATCTTGGCTTCACATCTTGGCGGCCTTATGCAAAGTATGACTGTGCTGCACAAGGCTTTCTCAGTGGCGGCTTTTCACCAGGCCTGGCTTCCAAAGTGCCTCTGAGTGGGTTTGAACTGCTAACTTCTTGGCTGATGTTTGAGCGCTTCATCTTTGCACCTCCCAGGGACTCCCTGTAAAGATGGCAGCCAAGCAAACCCAGATGGAGCAATTTTGCCCTGTATAGCACATGGGGTTACAATGAGTCAGAATTGAACTTGACAGCAAAGGGTTACTTTTGTGTGTGTGGGGGGGGGAGTGGGGGGTTGGGATCTTACAGGTGCACTTAATTGTTCATGCTGAGAGTGCATTGAATTCTCTAGAATACTGGCCCCTTGAACCCAGTTTTTGTTTTATTTATTTTTAAATCATGTTTTTGGGGGCTCTTACAGCTCTTATGACATTCCATACACCCATTGTATCAAGCATATTTGTACATATGTTGCCATCATCATTTTCTAAACATTTAGCCCTTTGGTATCAGCTCCTCTTTTTTTCCTCTCTCCACCCCAGAACCCAGTTTTTAAAATTGTGGTTTGGGATGCAAAATTGGTAGATGAAGCCCCAAAAAACCAAGCCTGAGTTATACCTGGTGAATCTTTGGTTTAAATCATTGTGGAAAAGAAGGGGGAGGAGGCCAGTGGGAGAAGTGTATGTGCCAAAGACAGAGGTTTTTCTGCAGCATGAATTTCACTGCTGACAGCCTGACAGGGCAACTGTACTAGTAGGGATATTGCATGACTTGGGTGTCTCTTAAGCTATGCCAGAAGGAATGGAACTTTTGTGGTAAGTGACATTATACTTCCCTTTCTTCTAGGAAAGGTTCTTTCACAGAAGAAATACCTGGGTCTGAGAATGTTGCCCCTCTCTATGAAGTAAGCACGTATTTGAGTCTGGGTTGTGTTTTAGAAGCCACAGCTGGGCAGTCTTAACAGGCAGCTAAAGTGTTTGGACAATAGCTAGGTGCCCTTTTAACTATGGGCCCTCTTCATCACTGAGTCTGCCTACACAAGCATTAACCCTTCTTATCAATGGTTTCTTTCACTTTGTCTCTATTTGATAAGGGTCAATGGTCCCAGGCTCTTACTCAGAGAATCACACCCCGTAGGGAAGAAAATAGTTTTTGGCTTGATTGGCCATTGTGAGCCATGAACAGACTAGCTTTGGGTCTTACGGAGAGCTATAGATTCCCAAA